GTTCCAGAAAAGTATCCTTGTTTTGAAGAGAAACCTAACAAGTGACCATACATCCATCTCTGCTGCATAAATACCGCACCCCCACCCCCCAGCCGCACAAAAAACTTGTAACGCTCAGTAATGTCATCTTCATACCTGAAAAGCTGTACTTTATTTTCAGATCATCAGAAAAGCTCAGACCTTAAAATCAGAGTTGACTTGGAAGAACTTTTTCTATACACTCTGTATCAGAGGCACCATGGTCACATGAATAGCTTTAGCTATTCCTTCCCCGTTTTAGTTGAATCATAGTTTGTAGTGACTGACCTCACAGGGTTACCTTTTCCAACTTTAAAATTACAAGTCTTATTCAAATTCTTTCTTGCATGGCTCTATGTTAACTAATAAGAATAGAACATTCTTTGTTGTATTCCTTGTTTCTTACATAGGAAATTACTTCCTAATATACCTCTGAAGATTTGGTGACTGTATTTTATCTTTGTCAGACACCATGTCTATGTAAGGGGAGATAGTTCACTCTGTAGAAACAGAAGCAGAGGCTACTTTATGTCATGTGGTTTGTCCAAATTAAAGGTGAACTATATACAACTAAAAACTGCACACAGCAGCAGGCATGTTTCTGCAAATAAGAATGTTCAAGAATCTAGAACTTTTCATCTTTACTTCCCATGTTATGGTGGTGTGTGTGTATGTATGTATTTGCTTAATTTCAAAGGTTGTAATACATTCAGCTTTGTATCTTAAGCCACTTATTCAATGAATAGAAAGGACTTGTCTAGTCAAAGATGGTATTTTCACAATAGTTACTGTGATACTGATGATTCTATAGTTTTCTATTCTGACACCTAACTTCCTCTACCAAAGTCTGAAATCCTACAATTAAAATAAATATATTTGGGCCTCCCTGATGGTACAGGGGTTAAAGACACAATGCTATCAAGTTATTGCCATCCACAACAGCACCCATTCAATCCTTGGCCAACCAGGGAGCTAAGCCATATGGCATAGCAGATCTCTCCTGTGTTGCTATTGCTCTCCTCAGCAGTGTATTTCAGTAGATTCTGCCTGTTCTGTTCTCCACACTCTCTGGTGAATCCTCTCACTCCCCACAACTCTGGCTTACACCCAATTTTTATATGCATAAATGAACACATCTTAAAAAAAAAGTATGTATTAAAAGAAATGAAGTTTACTTGAAAATCTGCATAGTGCAAAGAGCAAAGTGCATAATGGAAAGAACGTAGATTTTGAAAGTACACTTGAAATCCTTGGGTATCTTTCACATTTCCTTTACACCTCAATATGGGGGTAAAAACAAACAGCTACTTCTAACACTATCACAGAAACTAAAGGCATTTATAAAGCACTCAACTAGACAGTCAGAGAATGTGATCCAGGTCTTCTAAGCATTATAGAATTTCATCTGCTCAACATAACTGGGAGGTGGGTCTTCTTATCTCCCTTTAATTCTGGCCTAGGGACATTGAATATCATTTTTGATGTCACACAGTCAAACAGGCAGATCTGAAAGAGGGATACTGATCGTTGTGAGGACTTGATGGCTGGGGCCCATAAGAAGTAGCTACTATGGTGACGGTGATGATAATCGAGGCATGGTTGGGACACACAATACAATGAATGCACAGCATCTTAGCATCTTAGTAAGTTTATGAGATCAGTTCCATCCCTGAAAACAATTACAGTCAGCAGAAAAGCTGTCTGCTCAAGGGGATAGGAACTTAAGGATGTGTTAGGGTGTGAGGATGTGGGAGGTGATCACATGATTCCAAAATTAAAATTGTCCTTTTGAGAATATACTCTTCCACATTCAGCTATGGGAGTGTGTGAAAGTGGGGAACAGGAAACAGAGGCTAAGACACATTTTATCAATTCCACAACTTACCCATGGTATGATGTGCTATAGGCTTGACTATTACCAAAAACAGGATGGAACATTTTTTTTTCCTTTCATTTTCCTTACAACAAATCTATTGCTGTGTGTTGAGCTTCAGGCCGAGTGTCGCATCCCACAATATTTCAGTGGAGAGCTACCAGGAGAGATTAATACCCCTAGCAGAGTTATCTGCTGACAGGAAGGACAGGAATACTCTTACAGTCTACATTTGGCTTCTTGCCTCTGTTAAGGCACCAAATAGTCAGGCTTACTGACAGCCTCCCTGAGACTCATAGGCTTATTCTAGCACTACTTAAATGTTTCTATGAGGTATTCTGCTCTTCACATATGTTATCTCTTTAATCTCACTCCTTATTTGTTTGCATCCCTGAAAACTTAAGGAACTAGAAACAGTACAGGTCAGATGATTTTAACCTGGACCCTGCAGACCCCAGCATAAATAGGCTTTGTGCCAATCTTGAAGCATGCCCTGACTTCTCAAAAAGTGGGAGGTTTAGATTCTCACAACTTCTTATGGTTATTCTGTTCTGTTCTCCACACTCTCTGGTGAATCCTCTCACTCCCCGCAACTCTGGCTTACACCCTAATTTTTATATGCATAAATGAACAAATCTTAAAAAAATATATGTATTAAAAGCAATGAAGTAGGTTAAAAAGTACCCACAGAAGCTAGCACACAGTTGCTTATTTTTAATTGTTTACTGTAATAAATGAACACTTCTAACACAAATAATGTATTGCAATACAATTGTACAAAACATAAGATAGTCACACCGATTATTAAATAATACTGATACATAGTGCATTTCAAGAGCTGCAGTCCAAACATAGGTCACAATGGTTAGGGCTAGCTGGTATGTTTTGTTTTTTCATGCTTCAAGTGTTTTTTTGTCAGTGTGTGTGCAGTTTTAAAACAGAAAAGGATTGCATGTGAACTTTAATTCTTGTATTTTTTAAACTAGGCTTCACCAGATTCTCCAATTACTGCATTAAAAAAAGAGTTTAAAACTATGCCTCAAAGTAGTTTAGTCATTAAATGCAGACCAACCAACAAGGTTCTTCATTATTGAAATCTAGAATTCTCTTCCTTTCATTGTAACATCTTTTATTCTTGAAATTTAACTTAACATAGAATACTCTTTAAGTTGGCTGTTTTTCCCCAAATGTATTGTAATCTTGAAGTTCTTGTCTTTTTCATTTGTTTCTTTTTAACCCATATTCTAGAATATTTTAGGTTAAAAACAAGACATTGATCATATTGAGTAGTCAGTGGCCTAAGCCTTTCTCTGCTACTCCATAGCTGTGTGACTTTTGAGAAGTGTTTTCCTTCTCTGTTCCTCAGTTTCTGAATCTCTAAGATGAGATGGTTGACTCCTATCTCTCATGTTCCTTTTATCTTTAAAAATTGTCTCCTTTCTCCTGTTCTCCATTTCCTGTCAGACTGTCCCTGAAATATTTAATATCCAATCTCCAAAGCTATTGCTTTGGCCTACTCTGCTAGAAATAAAATGTTCATATACTTTCAACTACAGCCAATCCTGCCATTTAAAAGGCATATATTCAGACTTATTTTTTCATTTTACCTGATGAAATTAAATGTTTATTTTGTCTTTATGGTGAATAGTGCATGTTAGGTAATACTTGAGTCACCACAAAAGCTTTTAAGTAAAGAAATCTAACATTTTGTGTGCAGCTAAGTCGCTCGAGAATGCGGCACTGATAGCTTGGAAGCACTAGATGGCGATATAAGTGCATCAAATAACAAGTTCCCTTGATTGGTCCCGGCCTTAAAATCCCAAAGATTGAGGCCAGAACAGGTTAATACATTAGCTTAAACAACAGCAACGGCAAAAATCAAAGCCAAATATAATCAGGTGTTGTATAGTTAGGTAATACTCTGAATGTTTTCTTTCTTTCACTGAAAGTAAAATGCGTTACAGTAGAAATTAATTTATCCCGAGTCCTTCTTTAAGCTAATTGTTGAGGTAAGAGTTGGTAATAAACACATATACTTGATAAAATGTATATAATTCATGCTTTCATCTCCCGTTTTGGTTTTCTTCTTCTTCTTCTTCTTCTTCCTTTTTTTTAATAACAATTGTTTGGGATGGAGTGTGCTCACATATATTATTCATTAAGAGACTACCATATTCTTACTAAGAATGTGTCCTAAGACACTGGCATTTTTAAAGGGGAAATGGCCCTCTTACTGTAAGCTGTTGGCTGGGCCATTATTGACTGGCAGATCCAACTGGAAGCACTTTGTTAGTGGATTAGGTTGCCCTGGAAATGCCTTCCTGAAGCTCTAATGATGCACTTAAGGGAGCCCTTTGAGACAAGAGTAAAATGTCTCTTAGCAGGCATGTCTTCCACCAAAGTCCTCTTGGGATGAGCTGGGGGTGGGGAGTGGGGGGTGGGAGGTACATACAAAGAGATGCTCAGTAAGGAAACAGCCCCAGAAAAAGGTGACGGGTAAAATTTTCTTACAGGTAATGTCTTGCCAAAACTGTGGGTACCAGTGCATCATGTAATCATTTAAAGAATGCATCATTAATTCCAGAGAGAATATGCTTATTTATTATGTATGTATTTTCTGGAAGGATAGTGATAGAGGGATGCTGAAAGAGGAGGTCGTTTGAGAGAATATGGCTTAACTCTTTTAGATTGGGGGGAAAAAAAAGCCCCTTTGTAGCTTCAACATTGGGGTCATTCAGTGTTTTGTTTTGTTTTGTTTTTCTTTTAATAAGCTTTAGAAGGGGAAATGTGTCTTTCAATAGAAATTCAATACATGTGCAAACGGTTTTTTGTGAATTTTTCAAATGAAAAATCATTTGTGTTTATCTCACCACTGGGGTGGGGGTTATTTCTGAGGAATGGTGGTGGTGGTGGAGGTAAGGGCTAGAAGGGCAAAGAAAAGGTCTTCGCCAACTTCAACTCTGGGACAGGACTGGGAGGGAAGTGGCTGCGCTGCGCTTCGTCCCCGCCCCAAGTCCAGAGCGCCTGGGACTCTCCTACCCAATGCCTGAGAGTGGCGTCCCCGTACAGTCCTGCCGACCTGTCACTGAGGAGGACGTGACTGGGAGCTGCCTCCGCGTTCTCCAAGCCATATTCCTTTAAGATGATGTAATAGTCATTTCCCTGGATGGTTTCTTGCCTGCACTGCTGAAACAACAGCATCCGAACTGCACTGGGAACTGTAGAACCACCCAGCTCCGCCGCCAGTGAAGCCCGAGCCCGAGACTCACTCCGGCATCCCTGCGCTGCAGCGGCCGCCTTCGGCTCCCACCTGCCCGGAACATGGGAGCCCGTTTGCCCTTGCCGGCAGGTGTGGTGGCTACCTGGGACCCCAGAGGGGCACATCTGTCTTTCTGTTTCTGGGCTTTCTGAAGCACTTCTAAGTCCCAGACACCTTTTGCAACTCTCTTCTGTTTTAAGGATTCTTTCTAAAGGTTTGATTATCATTATTATTTTTTTTTCCAGAGAAGCTTTTGTGGAGCATTTTTCTCAGCTCTTCTTTCAAATCACTTCTCATCCCAGCTTAACTTTTTTGTCACTTGTTTTTAACTTGAGATTGGAGTGAATGTATAAATACAGACTTACAAATATACATTTATATGAATATTTAATATATAAAAATATTATTTTCAAAGAGTACATCTCTCTGGCACTTTTCATTGATACCTCTGTCCTTTACCTCTTTGGGATTTGACAAGCTTCAGACTCAGTGTGGCTGTGGATTCTGTTTTGCAAATGGGTTATTTCTTCACAAGAACTGGGTCTCCAGCACTTATTAAGGTAAGCACCAAGGTGTTCTGCTTTACCTGTTCAGCTGCAAACAAACAAACAAAACCCTCCTTTTAGAAGTTGAAAATTGCCTATTCCCTTTTAATGTAGAAATCAAACTAGAAATTGATTAATACTAACTGGTGGGGACAGATTCATGTGTATAAACATGTAGATACAAAATAGCATGAGAGAAGCTACAATTTAGCCAAAGAAAGGCTGAAATCAGTAGTTTCAGGGCTGCTTATGTAAAATAATCTCTTCCTTCCTCCCTCCCTTTCCCTTTCCCTCTCCTCTTTCTACTCATGCTGGGTTTGAAGAAATAATTTCTTTCTTTTCCTTCAGACAGACCTCTGAGTAACTGGAGATTTGGCCTGCCTTGTCCACTGAGCTGGAGGAAGATTGGATGGAGATGAGTTGATTACATTCTATGAAGTAATAGCTCACCATCAGCCAGGGTATCAACTTCATTTGCAGCTTCCTTTCACCTGTAGACTCTCCTAAATTTTGCTTTTTGGCGGGGAGGAAACTGGGAAAAGAGGAGGTTGTTCTAAACAAGTTAGCATCCTTCCTCCTCCAAGTTGAGGCAAATGATAAGGCCGTGACTCCGCTGGATTTCACCTTTAAATCAAAATACGAGAAGAGGAAGAAAAAAGGGACAATGGCTCTGAGTGGAAACTGTAGTCGATATTATCCTCCTCGCGAACAAGGGGCCGCCGTTTCCAACTCCTTCCCTGAGGTTGTGGAGCTGAATGTCGGGGGTCAAGTTTATTTCACTCGCCATTCCACATTAATCAGCATCCCTCATTCCCTCCTGTGGAAAATGTTCTCCCCAAAGAGAGACACTGCTAACGATATAGCCAAGGATTCCAAGGGGAGATTTTTCATTGATAGAGATGGATTCTTGTTCCGTTATATTCTGGACTATCTCAGGGACAGGCAGGTGGTCCTGCCTGATCACTTTCCAGAAAGGGGAAGACTGAAAAGGGAAGCTGAGTACTTTCAGCTCCCAGACTTGGTCAAACTTCTGACCCCTGATGAAATTAAACAAAGCCCAGAAGAATTCTGCCACAGTGACTTTGAAGATGCCTCCCAAGGAAGCGACACAAGAATCTGCCCCCCTTCCTCACTCCTCCCTGCAGACCGAAAGTGGGGTTTCATTACTGTGGGCTATAGGGGGTCCTGCACCATGGGCAGGGAGGGGCAGGCAGATGCCAAATTTCGGAGAGTTCCCCGGATTTTGGTTTGTGGAAGGATTTCCTTGGCAAAAGAAGTCTTTGGAGATACTTTGAATGAAAGTAGAGACCCTGATCGAGCCCCTGAAAGATACACCTCCCGATTTTATCTCAAATTTAAGCATCTGGAAAGGGCTTTTGATATGTTGTCAGAGTGTGGATTCCACATGGTGGCCTGTAACTCCTCAGTGACAGCATCTTTCATCAACCAGTATACAGATGACAAGATCTGGTCAAGCTACACTGAATATGTCTTCTACCGTAAGTAAAAAGAGTTCTTTTTACTTTTACTATGTATTGATTCTTTTAACAGATGTCTGTGGTCTGCATGCTCAGTCAATGTCTAAGGAATACTATTTGGGGATTTTTTTTCACCCTCGAGTTATAGCTGGAGTGCTAGAGGTTATATATAATTCAGCTCTCATGCCTTACCTAAGGCAATTATTATCTATTTTTTAAATGAGATCAAAGAGTATTTAAGCAACTCAAAATCACAAGATGAAAATGATACTGGTATAGTAATATGTGGGATGAAAAGAGATGTGTATTTCTGCTTGCTGGTTATTAAATTGTGAAGAACAGGTTGATGGTGGAACTTAGATGTTAGCTTATAGGAGACTAGTAGACTCAGCAAAGATAAAGTGCTCTGTCTATGCTTTCATCTGAACTTGGGGGTCTATTAAGCTGGTTGCTGAAACTTGCTTTCATCAGGGGCTTTGAAAACACAAATGGATGCTGCTTGGAATGATGTGGTCTTGGCTAGATGGCAGTATAGACTGATGAAAGGCCCCCTTTCTAGCACCCTGCCCCCTTTCCTGTCAGAAATTTACTTTTATGGGCTTAATAAATCTGCTGTTTGATTCTTTAGCATTTTGTACTGAGACTTGAGTTGCACTGCAGACTTAATTAAGCTGAACATCATTTAAGATCCATCTAAAGGAACTAGATCCTTGAGAACCGTCAGTCACATGAAAACATCTTCAGATAGCTTAGGTGATAGAGTTACTGACATAAGAGTAAACCAGAGGGAAAGAGATAAGGAAACAATTATACTGAAGCTTTTATAAGAAGGGTTTCTTAGGGGTCAGTCCATTTGCTTAAATGACAGCTTACATACAGATTGCCTTGTTTTATGAATGGCATTATTCTAAATAAGCTATAAGCCATTGACATCTGAAGGGAGAAAAATAAATTAGCATGTAAAGTTTAATCCCTGGTTTAACTGCTGAGTTTTCGGTAGGCCTGACCTGGGAGTTGGGTTAATGATTCCATAAAAATGTTCCTGGTGTTAACATTTGGATTTCCTCTGTTTTTATGTTAGAGCAAATCCCAACTGAATTTAATAACTGGGTTATCACACATTTGGTTTTTAGAACTGAAACACTTGGGTTGCATGGGAAGAACCACCCATGGAGAAAAGTGATATCAGCTATTAGTTCAGGAGCATATTGGTGTGCAGTAACATGCATTATTTGGTCTGATAATGTTATCTCTGGCTTTTGTCTTTGATCTGTATCTTTCTCTGTGTTGGAGCTTAGTTACCAGATACTGTTTCCTTTCTGTTGGTGAATTCCCACCAGTGTAGAGATAAGACTATAGCCTTTTAATTTCCCATAAAGGAATATGATATTACCTGTGATTCTATGGAAGAAATATATTCTCCAAATGTTTGAAAAAGGCATCTTAGAAAGAGTGCTAATGCAGATTTTAATTATTTTCCTTGTTTTCAAATTCCTACTATTTGAAAAAAAAATCTTATGAAGCTTTAATCAAATAAATGCAATCATGCCAGTCACATTCTCCAACAAAGACCACACTATATATTTTTTAAATCACTTGCTTATCTAAATGAAATTCAGAATCTAATATATTTTCTTACTAGCTCAGTGCCCTTTCTGTGGTCATCAACGCTTCATCCATCTAACAGTGTGTCCTCTTTAGATTTCTCTGGAGAGGTTCTGTTCTCTTGATCATATACTTGTGTTCTTCTTTATTGGAATGCTAGAGGTTGCTGAGGAGCAATATGCTCTCCATCTCTCCACAGAAGGGCTAACACTAAACACAGAAACCCCATCTTGTACAGTATACATACATACATACATACATATATATGTACATGTATACATATATATGTATGTATGTATGTATAATGCATATGATATACTTCTTTTTTGTATCTAACATACAGAGCTAAGTATTAACTCTTCCTCTGTCTTAGGATTGATAAAACTGACAGCTGGCTTTCTAGGGTGCGTAACAGCTTCCGTGCAGCTGCTTAACCATAATTATTTAATTAGAAGCTGCCAACTGTGCCTATATAAGCATTAATTCATCAAGCTGTTTGTGCTTGGGTTAATGGGCCAAAACCATGGGAGGTACTTCAAAGCAGGGAGTTGACTGTATGCAAGATGCTCATTGCATAGGGATCAATATCTATATAAATTTCTGTATGTTCTTATATTTATAATTTATATAAAAGAATTATATTAGAAGACTCTAATTGCTTATATCTAAGGGATTAACTTCAAGCAATCAGAATCTTCTAGTAACCTGGGGATAATGCAAAGTCACTTTGCCTAGAACCATATTACAGTACAAAAATAATGAAAGAGAAGTTAATATACTGCATGTAGTGACTGACAGTCATAGAGAAATTCCATTTACTTATCTGTCTTTCATTTTTTTAAGGGGCAGTTGGGATACCAAAATTCTTCTGTCAATTATTAACTGGTTCTTGCCTTATTTAATCTTCATATGGACCTACAGTGGTGGTCAATATCTGGTAGTTTTGACTATTTTGTTAATATAGAGTTGTGAATAACTAAAAAGTCAACAGGTATTGTATGTGCTCAAGATGTAGGTAGGAAATGTGTTTGCCTGTATCATTCACACACCAAAATACCATAATTGCAACCAATTAAATATGACCAAAAAAATGTGTCATAGTATTGCTTCACAAAATATTGTAGATATATTCTTTATTTTAATTTTAAAGCTATGAGATGATAGCTTTTCTCCTTACCCACCCAACTAGCTAAATAATTACTTTTATTTTTTTCTTTAAGTGTTATATCAAAGGCAATATCATAAACAGCAGACAATATCTATTTGATTTACCACTAAATGAAATGGGAACTGAGTAATTTGGAATAGAGAAGTCCCAATTCTGAAACAGATATTCAATAACCATTCACACCACTTAGGAATAAAATCACAGTGCATGGAAATAAATGAACCTCTTATTCAGAGCCATTTTCCAATACCCAAAAGAGTGGTAAGATTGTTCTTGATTAGAGAGAATTATGCATCTTTCCTTGTGCCTACTCATCAGTGAGTTACTTCATATAAATATCTGAAAGCACTCAGATTTAAAGGTATTTGTTTCTAATAAAGGCACAATACCATCACCAGTAATAGGGAACTGAATTCATCAGCTGCTTACTTCAAAAACATACTCTGTGTTCTTCAGAGTTTAGTGAGCTTTAGAGAAAGACATCTGTTTATCACCTTTCAACAAATTGCTGTAAATGCATTTTAAACTCTTTTCTTCCTTTGCCTCCTCTCTTCATTTATTTAAATTTAAATGTTTATTGTCACAAAAGACCCTAGATTATTTTGTATAAAGTATATATACCCAGGGCTGTTGACATGGAATGTTGGGGGAAAGTAGGTACAAAATGACTGTTCACTTAGAATTCAGCTGCGTGACCTTGTATTGGGAAGGATCTGTGGTTCTGGTAACTGTGAATAACTTACCAAGCATTGACTTTAAAGGCTTCAAAAAGAGGAGGTGTTTTTATAGGAAAAAGTGTGGAAATGTATCTATCCTGATATAACTCTAGCTCTTTTACCCTGACTACTCAAAGAAGACCAATAATAGCTTTCATTTTTATTGTCCATAGAGAAATGACATCGGCACATCTGTCTATCACCACCCACTTATCATCCTTCTGTGACTTCTGTCTTTTTCTACCTTAGACTTCCTTTTCCACTGTCTTAATCATTCCTGCTTTCAGGTTCTTTTTTACTATGCCATAATCAAGGGTTATTATCAGAAAAAAAATCCTATTCTGTCATTATATTTTGAATATTTTCAACTCATGTTGTACTTTTCTCAAAGGTATTTGTAGCTAAGAAACCTTTAGGTAGTTGTAGATCAGCTGACACCCCAAAGTGGGGTGTTCTTAATAATGGAGAGTTCTTAATTCATAATTTAAAAAAAAGTCACAATTTATATAAAATACTTCATTGTAAAGTCAATTTAAACTTGTGTTTGTGCAGATAGGTATTGGATGCTATAGATGATGGTTAAGGGCAATGGTGGTGGATGTAAGTTATTTCTTAATTCTTTCATATCCCTTCTAGGTATTGGGCTCAAAATGACAGTAATGTAAGCATGTCACCAAATATTTTTATACTGTTTTCACTTTCATGAGAAACACGATCTCTTACCTAAGCCCAAACTTTTGTGAGATGATTAAAATAGTTTTTAGGTCTATGGTATTACTGAATGAATTTAGCTATAGGAAAAGTGTTAGTTTGTGGGCAGAAAGAGGAGCTCTCTGAGATTTCCCCCCAAATGCTTTGATGTGTTAAAAACATATATGACTGGAAAGGGTAGACCAACTGTTTCTAATGGCCTAATGAGGCTTAGATCTGTTCAAAGAAATTACAAATGGAAATAACTGAAAATGTGCTACAAAGCTCCATTTGGAATACCTCCAAACACAAATTATGGGGAGGAGTGCTTTACAGGAGAGAGTGCCAGCCCAATGCATAGAAAAAGGTTCTGCAGAAACTGGCAGATGAATGCTCAATTTTTACCTCATAACCAACAGTTGCTCTTTTTCTTTGGTTTTTGCTATTGCTTTCCTCAAATATTACATTTCTTGGCAAATCAGTTAAAATTTTTATTTTTTTTTAGTTGCATTCAAAGAGATATTCAGCTTCAGTCATTACAAGTATCAGAATAGAAGCAATCTTGTTTCATCTATATTCTTCCTTACTTTTTTCTTGTCTGCACTGACTTATTTTGAAGCAAATTTCAGATATCGATTATTTCATTCATCTACTGTACTATCCAATACTACAGATTCTAAAATATATCAAAACACAATTTCAATATCAATTACAAAATAAGCAATTTTTTTAAAGATTTATTTATTTGTGCATACAGAACTGGGGTACAGGCCAGAGGCTCAGGTGTGGTGAGAGGCTTCACCAGAGACAGAGCGGGGGACAGAACAGGCAGATCGATGAAG